TTCCCTTGTGAAAAAAAGCTGCACGTCTCCTTAAAAGTGAAAATAATTGATATTGAATTGAATTGCATCTCAAAACGCGACACTTCTGGGTGACGAAAATTGCATTGAATTGTGTGACAGAAGTCACCTGTGTTACAAATCAATCATTACCTATGACCTCGATATAACGAACATTTTGGTCGTTTCCCCTCAAATTCGTTATATCGAGGTTTTCGATATAACAAACCCTCGATTTAACGAACACATTTGGCCGGTCCCCAGCGACTTCGTTAAATCGAGGTTCTACTGTAATCTGACATCTTACGGCACTCGCCAGTAGTGCCTCAGTGATACAAATCAATGGTGGATCCAGACCTTGGGCTAAGGAGGGGGCCCAGGTTTTTGCTTGGCCTGCCTGCTTTTCTTCCTTCTGCGATTTTTTCACCCAAAAAAAGGGGGGAGGGCCCCCCTGGGCCCCTCCCCAAGATCCACCACTGCAAATTGATAAATACAAAGAAATAACAGGGTTTGATGTGTATTCAGTCAAAACATTTAATGATTTATATCATGTTTTCAAACATGTGACAACATAAAATTGAGCGTAATTGCGTAATCTTATCATAAAAAAAAGTTGACCAGATATCTAGGATCTCAGTATCTCGGCTGGGGGGTTTAGCGTCAACCAGATACATGTAGATGCAGACATACTACCACAGAATAAATCTTCTGGGGTCCTGTGCATTGCGCTGTGCCTGACAAACATGAGCTACCTATTACCTTGGACTAGACTCTGCTAAATACACGTCTTCGGGCTTCAAAATTTGTTTACCTGCAACTGTAAATAATTGAATCGCCGTTCTCTATCATGCAGCAACGTTATCTCAATTACTATAGCTGTATGAATTTCAAATATGGTTAAATCTGACAAAAACTACAATGTTTCATGCAAGAGCCGTACGGTATGCTTGTTTATTGTGTCATTTGGTAAAACATGGTCAATGCAATGATAACAGTTTGAGTGAGAAAATAGTGATAAAACCCCATCTACAGCCACTGGATTTAGGTGAACTTATAATATTGATTTTTTGTTTAATAGGATGCTAAGAACTAAGTTTTGCTGGGAATTTTAGGTTCGACAGCAGAGACTCTAATTCGATTATTTGTAGTTGTTGACACCTTGAGGTAGCGATTTTCCTGAAATAGAGCATGTATTTTCCGTGCAGTAATTAAAAGCCCCAAACTAATCTTTCTATCTTTGAAAGAAGAACATTTCCACTAATCACAACTTTGATCTCAAGTGATTCGGAATTATACTACATAGGAAAAACGTGTCTTGAAAAAATGCTCCCAAATTTGATTTTGAAACCACAAAATATTGGTGATTTTTTAACAGGCACTGTGAATTCAAATTTAGACGAAAAAGCCTGGTTTTAGGCTTAAGTAATTTGCCAATACCTCCCATACAAATACACAAAAGAAGAAAAGCAAACTTGATTTTGCACTTTTCAGGAGCGAAGTTCTTGTGTTGATACTCGGCGCACTAATATCCACCATTTTCTAGCGGTTGCTATCATGTACAATTTTTGCAATTTTTTGGGAAAACAAAAGTAGATCTGAACAAAACAAACATACCATGTTTATTAACTCATCATGGGGTATCTCTGAGTGAAAGATGAGGGAAATGTGCCACATTATTGTGATTTCACACGGTCTTTGGGGACATTCTCTCTTAAATTCATTGTGGTATTTTATCTTGAGTTTCGTTCATTTTGTAGCACTACTTTTCACGCCAACATTTGCAATTTGATACTTTTGTTTTCCTCACCAATGTATGCAACAAGATACCTTTGTTTCCATGCAAATGTAAGAAAGATGTGTATCTTTAACTCACTGCTGGAGATAAATGGAATATGAAAGTTAAATTTCTGCTGAAAAGTCGAAGAGGAACGATTTTGCTTAATTCACAACGTAAATTTTCATTTCACCGATAAACAAGAACTTATCTAATTATCAAATAGTCACGTCGAATTACGGAATAGTACTAGTGCGTTCTAATTCTGTTGCCAGCCGAGTTGGTGTAAACAATAAAACCACATCAAACTAATACACAATGCTATTGAGTAACACAACTAAGGAGCGTTTCAACGAGAAGTATTGAAAATAGAGATCTTTACTTGACCGAAATTATATCCCACATCGGTGAGCGAGTCACCTCATCAACTGATGAAATTAACTGGAGGTTTCAGTAAGTGCGATGGAGTCTGCGGCAATAATAATGAAGTTTCTTTTGTCACAAATTTACTAGTTTTACATGGGACTAACTCGGGAAAGTTTTGGCTGCATATGAACTTGGGCTCTATGGGCTCTCTTTCATAGAAGAGGAAACAAACAAGCTGCTAAGGAAAAGCAATATGTTCCCATTCTCTATTTCCACCCTGGCAAACACACAATAGTTGTAAAACAGCAGACGACATTTCTTGAATCGAGCTAGGGAAGATTCCAGAAGATACGCAGACACACTAGCGTTCTTTGCACTAAAAGAGGAGAACTGACATTGCCTCAAATGTGTCCCAAAAAATGATTGACAAAAAGCGTAGAGTTTCTCGGCCTCTACTTCCTCCATGTAGCACTGCCTTCTCTAGTCTGTAAGTAAAAAAGCTGTAGAGTAAAGCCCCAGAGCCACAGAGCTGTACTCTTCTGTTCTCTTTCCTACTATACTCTACTCTACTCCACGCTACGCTACTCTACTCTACGCTACGCTACTCTACGCTACTCTAATCTACTCTACTCTACGCTACTCTACGCTACTCTACTCTACTCTACTCTACTCTACGCTACGCTACTCTACCCTACTCTACTCTACTGTACGCTACTCTACTCTGCTCTACTGTACACTACACTACACTACACTACACTACTCTACTCTACTCTACGCTACGCTACCCTATGCTACTCTACTCTGCTCTGCTCTACACCACGCTACTCTACTATACTCTACTCTACTGCGTTACTAGTTCTCTACTGCTATACGGCTCTACTCAATGAAAGCTAGGTAAACTAGAATTCAAGAAAACAATTTGACTTTAAAAAAAATGGCCCAGTATCTAGTGGGAGAGAGAAGCAATTTGGGTTTATAGCATTTAATGGTTTTGTACTTGCTTCAATATTTCATAATAGTTAATTTAAACATACCTTTGATTTGCTATTACAGCACTCTTTTAGAGCGTATCAGATCAGGACAGAGCAACCACATCCTGTTGGTCTAGTGCAAGTTAGCTTCAAGCACTCTAGTGGACATTGAATGGAGGCTGTACAAGCATTTCAAAATGCTGCTGACAAGTTGTAATTGTCATACTCAGGAATAGCATCTTCAATAGCTCAAAGCAAGGGTTCTTTGTTCTCTTTCTTCCCCATTGTCACTTTTTCAGAAATCCCTGGTTCCATAATGTTCTTTTTTTTTGCCTAAGTGCCAATATTCTTTTATGTTATAAAAGAAATAGTAAACGTGCAGCGCAAATTTCAATTTATCGATTCACTTGGGAAGTGTGCACATTTATCTTTAATTAATCTTCCCAAATTGAATAACTTGAAAGAAAAGTTCATCTGCTATACTGAATACAAACACATCACCAACAACACAAGCAATTTTTTTAATCACAACTTTTAACTTATTTTGCATTTTCTTATCTGCTTGAGTAACCAGCAAATGAACATTGTAACATAGCATTGTGCTTTGACGAATCTCTCTTTGTGCAAATCCTTATCTTTTCAAATAAAAGCAACATCTTCATTCTATTGAAAGAATAGTAACAATTTCATTATATATTCAAGCTCTTTTTGCTTGGGGTTTTATATCTGTATTCGTCGTCCTTTCTTTTTCTCGAAGTTTCATGTTCTTTTGTTTCACCTATCAATTGAAAATGCTCCCTTGGGGTGGTGGGTCACCAATTTATTTTACCCGATCAATCCTTTTTAGAAGGCTGCATTCATTAGTTTCTTTTATGCACCATTATCCTAGTCGTCTTTAACTCATTTATCATTTACCAAAGGAACAAACCCTCACATAGTCCAGTTGGCCACAAAAATAGTAAAAACTAAGAGGGATATGACCAGCTCTCCTCCCTTTTGGCTCCTCGTTTCCGAACAATCATGCAAAAGAAAGGTACATGTGAAGAAAAAATTAGAAAATTCAAACGCATATTACGGGACAGAGGTTATACACATAACCTTTGGATAAATATATTGAAGACCTGCAAAACAAGTTTGACAACCTTGACTTATCAGAGGAAGAAAAAGTTTGGTTATTCACTCAAGGTTTATGCTCTTACACTCAAAGTCCTTATACGTCAACCTAGAACCTTCCAGGAAGTTGAAAATGCTGCTCCCCTCACTCAAACAGCTCAACAATCCATTCAGGACGCAAAAGGAACTTATTCTGTTTCTCGTAGGCAACAACAACTTCACACCCTTGTCTCCAGTTTAGCAGCTAAAGAGAAAGCAAAAAAGGCTCCTCTTTCCGCTTACCAGTTTTCTCCACAGATCTCAGTTGATGAAAAGCTTGCTAACCTTCGCAGGGAAATCAAAGAAGTCATTAATCTTAAAAGTGAAAGTGAAGAATGATCATCGCAGTTAATTTTCCAATTTAAGCAATTGGAAAGAAGAAGCCTGAAAAAATCAGGGCTTCAACGGGATTCGNCGAGGTCAATTAATTGAGTTCTTCCCGTAAGGAGTGAAATGATGTGAAGTTTATATTAAATAATTCATATATGAACTGCGGTTGTAGATGAAAGTGAAGAATGATCATCGCAGTTAATTTTCCAATTCTTCACTTTCATCTACAACCGTAGTTCATGTATGAATTATTTCATATAAACTTCATATCAAGTCATTAATCTTATTAGCGGTCACCCTATCCCAGACTCGGCTATAACAGCTTACCAACCATCCTAGTGAGACCCATATGGACGTTACGCCAGGACTACGAGATCTCCTGCCCACTAGAAGAAAATCTCCAACTCAATGCAGCCTCCACACAACCCCAGCCACACAGAATAAGAAACGCCGACCCTTCTGACGAGCAGTGTCTTCGCAAAGAACCAGTTTTAGAGAACAATGTAAGCTATTACAGTCAAGAGAGTTCTCGTCCACTGCACTCACTCTGGGATTAATGTCCAGTGTGTTGGGGGGGGGGGGAATTCGCAGAGGTTGACAGTTTTATAACATAGGTAGGAGACCAACATGTATATTGCGCCTGTAATGATAGCAATAATTAGATGTAATAATTAGATGTTGACCGGATGATTTTTTATTTGTTTTCATTAAGCTGAAACAATGTGTGATCCTTGCTTTTCTTTATGAGAGGACAGATGTGATGAAACTACTGTGGTTTACCGCTAGACCGCAAGAACTCACCAACGTGTAGTATGTGTTTGTATCTTGTATTACGGGAAATAGCTTCTAAATTTTTGCTAGCCACATTGGCACATGTATTCATTCGCATATTGCCTGCTGAACAATAAACGTCTTTTTGTTACTTAAAAGGTACCTGCTCTCTTTACATGGTGGCAGTGGCGGAGAGCTGTAGTGGTACAATAATATTACACATAGCTTCATAGCTTCTCGTAAAGAAGAATGGCATTTGGATACTCCTTACCGTCACCAGCACCTCTTGAAATTCACGATCACAACGCAGCAGAGAAATGGAAAAATTTCCAGCTAGCATGAGAAAACTGCGCACTCACTACAGAGCTCAACAGGAAGGCACAGCCAGTACAAGTAGCCACGCTTTTGACAGTGATAGGCGAAGACGCCAGGGAGGTATGCTCTACATTTACCGCCTGGGCCGAAGAGGGAGATGATCAGAAAATCGCACCAGTATTAAAGAAACTGGGAGAATATTGCGAACCACGCAAGAACATTCCATTTGAAAGATATCGCTTCAACCAATGTGTTCAGGACCCAGGAGAGACTTACGATCAGTATCATACGGCACTGCGAAAGCTAGCAGAAGGCTGCAATTTCGAAGTAATTAATCCCAAAGAAATACTTCATGACCGCCTGTTGTTTGGTATTCATGACAACAAGGTTAGAGAGAGATTGTTAAGAGAAACGAGCTTAACACTCGCAAAAACTGACGAAATATGCAGGACATCTAAGAGCACAACTGCCCAGATGAAACTTGTGGAAAACCAGACGGACCCATCAAGTTCAGTTAATGCGGTTACAGACCAAGAAAACAAGAAAAAACGCCTGGGGAGACGCAAATCCAAAGGGAAAGATGACAAAAATGCCAACAAATCCAAAGAATGCTGGAATTGTGGAACCGTTCACAACCGCTCAAAGAAAGAGCTATGTTCGGCATTCGGCAAGAAGTGTTTGAAATGTGGTAAACTCTCCCACTTTGCGGCTAAATGTCGCAGCAAGAAATGAGATAACAACTCCACATCTGTCAGAGCTGTCAACAGCGATAGCGAGCCAGAAGTGTTTCACGCTGACATGATCTCAGTGGTAGATCTGGATGATTCCCAGCTCGTAACGCTCAAGTTAGAGTCTGGCAATTATCTGCGGTTTCAGCCCGACACAGGAGCCCAATGCAACGTTATTCTGGTGAGCCTTTACAAGAAAGCCACAAAAGATTACAGACTGGAACGCGTGACACCAGCTAACGCTCAACTACGGAGGCTCAAAACTGCAAGTCGTGGGTAGCGTTCAAATTACAGTTTGGCGTGACGACTTCAAATGCCAATTGGATTGTAAACTGGTTGACAACAACGCAATCTGCCCCCTCCTTAGAAGAAAGGCTTGTGTGGGCATGAGGATCATTAAATACATGGACAATGATCAGTTAAACAAGCCACGAACAGGAAGTGCCCCTGTTTACTCACTTGAAAAACCAAACATCACAAAAGTAACGTAAGGGCCCATCACCAGAGAAGCCCCTATAAAGAATTACCCGCAAGTTTTGGTGAAGGCGTTGGAAAACTAGCCGGCGAATACCACATAAGAATTTACAGCACCATAGATCCTATACAACACGCACCTCGTTGCGTACTCATAGTGCTCAGAACAAAAGTGAAAGAAGCTTGAGAAGACCTAGAACAACAGGAAGTCATAGCACCCATGACCTCTCCTACAGCGTGGATAAGCTCCATGGTAACAGTTCCAAAGAAACACAGAAAGCTATGCATTTGCTTGGACCCCAAGGACCTGAACCGTGCCATCCAACGCGAGCATTACCCACTCCCAACCACTGAAGACATTGCCACCAGGCTACATGGCGTGAAAGTCTTCACAAAGCTAGACGTACGGAATGGATTCTGGCATGTGGCCTTGGATGAGGACTTGTCGTTCCTCACAAGATACCACACCCATTTTGGACGTTACCGCTGGCGACGCCTACCTTTTGGTATCAGCTCAGCTCCTGAGTCTTCCAGCAGAAAATACATGAGCTTATTGAAGGGCTCTCAGGCATCGAAGTCGTTGCTGACAATTTCATTGTAATTGGCTGCGGAAGCACACTGGAAGAGGCCAATGTTGACCATGACAAAGTTCTTATGGCATTTTTGGAACGCTGCAAAGAGCAAGGTGTCAAGCTTAACATGGACAAGCTTAACCTGCGAATGACAGAAGTCCCATTCATCGGACACAGCGCCATGGACAAAGGGCTATGTGTTGACCCAGCCAAGGTTCGGGTGATCAGCGAAATGCCAGCTCCAACAAAGCTAGAGTCCATGCAGAGACTGTTGGGGCTCGTGCAGTATCTCAGCAAGTTCCTCCCTCAACTGTCGGATATTACAAAGCCTATGAGAGAGTTGACGGAGAACGACGCACAGTGGACCTGGGGAACAGCCCAAGAGCGTCATTAGAAGCACTCCAGTCCTGCACTATTACAACCTGCAGGAGGAAGTCACAATCCAATGTGATGCCTCTCAGTTTGGTTTAGGTGCCGCCCTCCTACAAAATGGACAGCCTGTGGGCCTATGCATCCCGTGCCCTCACAGATACAGAAACATGTTACGCCCAAATCGAAAAGGAGCTGCTTGCAATCGTTTTTGCCTGTGAACGTTTTGAACTGTACATTTACAGTCGTGACCTTATTCAAGTTGAAAGTGACCAAAAGCCCTTAGAAGCAATCTTTTGTAAACCACTCCACTCAGCACCCAAGTGACTTCAATGAATGCTGCTGAGACTTCAGAAGTATAGTCTTCGCGTGACGTACAAAAAAGGTCAAGATATGTTTCTGGCCGACACTCTGAGCAGAACGTTCCTCCTGTAGGTTAGCACCTGTGAGTTCACCAAAGAACTGGAAGAGATGGATCACAGAGCCTCCCTACTAGTCAGTCACGAACACTGGCAACAGATGAGGCACGCATCCGCAAACGATCTTGTGTCGCAGCAATTCTGAGCAACCATACATCGAGGATGGCCAGAAACTAGATCCAAAATTCCAGAATGCCTGCACCCATACTTTGACGTGAGAGATTCCTGACCGTTCAGAATGAGCTTGTCTTCCAGAGACAACTTCTGGTCGTACTCGCTGCCCTACAAAAGGAGTTGATGGCCGTGGTACACAGCTCACATATCGGCATTGAAGGGTGTATACGCAGAGCACATGATACCCTCTATTGGCCTCGCATGGCAACTGAGCTATGAGAATACATCTCAAGGTGTGATGTATGCCTAGCGCACTGCACCAGGCAAGCCAAGGAACTACTCCTACAGCATAAAGTGGTGGCCTGACCGTGGTCCAAGGTAGCTGCCGATTTCTGTGAGTTAGACAACCGCACACTGCTAGACATCTCTGACTACTACAGTAACTACATAGAAGTTGCTCACCTGAACACTGCGACATCACGTAACGTCATCAGAGATGAAAGCTGTATTCGCTAGATAATGCATCCCAGACGTCCTAGTGACTGATAACGGCCCCCAGTTTGCATCTGCCGAATTTGCTGTATTCGCGAAAACCTGGATGTTCAAACACACCAAATCATCACCGTACCACAGTCGAACGGAAAGGGCGAAAACGCCGTGAAAACAGTAAAATGCGTGTTCACCAAGTCCAAGGAATCTGGCCAATCGGAGTTCCTAGCACTGCTAGATTGGCACAACACCCCATCTGAGGGAACTGGCCTCAGTCCTGTGCAACGCCTGATGAGACGTCGCTGGAAGACACTCCTTCCCATTGCTGGTACCCTGTTACAGCCCCGTTACTCAATAGCGCAGGAGACACGCTCTTATTGGAAATAAGCAGCGCCAGCAGCACTACTATAATAGGCATGCCAAACCACTGCGTCCAATTAAACCTGGAGAAACTGTGCGCATAAAGCTACCCAGTCAGAAAATCTGGACCACTGGCACCTGCACAGGACATACTGGTCCAAGCAGCT